TGTCTTACCGGCAATCCCGCTTCCTTGTATAATAAAATTTGTTTTTCATCCTCTTTCTGTGATAACTCGATTTGCTGCAAGAAAACGCATTTGTTGTGATGACACCATACCATGGTTATGCTCCTTAACAAATTTTGTTATATGTCATTCCTCTGGAAATATGTCAAAGCACTTCTTCAAAGTAATCCGCACATGGGCTTTGCAACTACATCTTGTTGATCCCTTATTTCGTTGAGCTATAGAGGGGTTAAATATCTTTAAACGTTGGTTACCTCCGCGATGACATAAAAGATCTTGTCTAGTAGTCCTTCCATATTTAGTATCTAAACGATCTTTGCGAGCTACAAAACCTTGTTGTTTTGCAAAATTGTTATAAAAGACAAATGTCTCTTCTTGACTTGAAAAGGTTTGTCCAATGAAAGGTTCATCATAATCCCTCTGATCTTCCTCATTTAAAGGTTCATTCAAATCAAAATCAAGCATCACTAAAATCTGTTTAACAATTCAAGATACCTCACTTAGAAAAAATTAAAAATAACACAAATACTAGGATAAAAAAAAAATTAAAAACATGAGTAAGTAGATTATGATACAACAGAGACAAATTATCATTTCATTTTAGATTATGAGAAATTAAAAATATGAGAAAAGATAACAAACATTCTTAACGTTTCATATTAGCAAACAATAAAATAAAGACTTCAAAAATTTTAAGTGAAACAATAGTAATATTCTTAGAGGCAAATTATCGAACACATGATGGGCATATTAATCTGCAATTTTTAAGTGCAACAAAGATTACAAATTTTTCATCTTATGCACATATAATTAAAGAAACAAAAAAAAGAAAAAGGGGGAGAAAAAGAATTAATTTAGTCAAAAGTGATTAATCACATATATACATACCAGTGGGTTCTTGATGTGGTCTTTTGCCCCAAATTAGCAGTACCTTTTGATAGGATTTATTTGCAGAAGAAATTTCGATGGAATGATGGTTGATATATCCATAATTGGATTTTTTTTTTTTTGACAAGACCAAATAAAGGAAATTGAAGGGATGCGAAATTTTGATAGAATACGGCGCCAAATTTTTATCCCCTTTTTTGCCAAAAGTTAATGTGATTAAATATTTTACTGGGAATCATAAAATGAGTTATTATTAAGAACTGTATTTATATTATTGGAAATACAAGGGAATCTTGTATCTAATTAAGGGTTGCATATAACATTTGCAAAAAAAAAAAAGTGGGAATATTTAATGTAACAATTAATAATAATCTCTAGCCTCCATTCTTGAATTTTAGAGGGGCTTTTATTGGTTTTTATTGGTGGAAAGCCCCAATTGTTGTTTTTGTGTGCTTTTTCTCTTGTTTTAGGTTTATAATAACTCTTCCTTTTAGAGCATGTTTGGATTGGGGGAGATGTATTACTAGGGTAATAAAAGTCAAACTAAGCAAAATGAAAGTGAAAATAGGGAAAGAGGTGATAGTGTGATTGTAAGGAAAATTATGTAGTAATGGTACGGTGTGGTATAAGGTGAAAAAAAAAAGGAACTAATACCCTCATTTTGGGGGTACTAGTTACACTAGGGGGAGGGTGGGTAACTATTACCCTCATTTTGAGGGTAATAATTCCTCCATCTCTCTTTTTCTTATGGCACAAATATATTATTTCATTTGTAACAACATGCCTCCTACAACAACACCTACCTCTAATTACTTATGTTTTTTCAAGTTTGAATTTTATTACCCCTTTAATATATTACCCCCAATCCAAGTAAGGCCTTAGGAGGAACATTTCTCCCTCGAAAGACAGGGTTTTTCCACCTTCTTTAGGAGGATTTGGCTCCTTCGAAAGACCGGATTTTCTTCTCTTTTTTGAGGGAGGATTTGCTTTTTCATTTCATGGATTGATATAGAGTTGTTTCATGGATAAAACTTTGTGCGGGATCGAACAAGCGGTTAATATCTCGATTACAATCTTACGAATCAAGCAAAAATTTTCTACACGGCTACATCAGATCGATAGACCCCCCCCCCCCCCGGTCAAAGAAGGTTGTAAATTACAGCGATATGAAAGAGGGTATAAACATTGTACAATTTACAACAAAGATCGTAGCTTTGCTTACTGAATGTTTTTGTTTGATTAAATTATTATGTATTTGTTAGATCTGATCTAAATCTCTTTGTGTTAAAAAAAAAAAATCTATGCAGTATTTTTTTTTTTTTACATTTTTATTTTGAAACAAATCAATTCATTAATAAAAAGTCATACGACATTTACAAATAAAATCTAAATTAACAAATACATAAAATTGAATCAAATTAGGTTTTCCTTTTTCAAATTAGTATTTTTTTTTACTCGCATCACTAAGTAATAATTTCTAGACAACTTAGGGCTTATTTAGTTCACCTTATTTTTGCTTATCTGAACTTATATGATCTTATCTGATCTGGTCTGATTTGATTGTTTGATTTGACTAAATTTTGACTTTAAGTGTACGATAATCTGTAAGGAAAGAATATATTAAGTGGGGTCTTGTTAGATTCGTTATAATGAGTATTTTATAAATATTTAATTTTCATATCTTTTCTAATTTGATCTTATTTGTTCTGATCTGAACTTATTTTTTTTCCGATCTGATCTGATTTGAACTTATTTTTTCTGATCTAATCTGATCTGATTTGAACTTATTTTTTCTGATCTGGTCTGATTTGAACTTATTTTTTCTGATCATAACTTCTTTTTTTTCCTGATCTGATCTGATTGAACTTTTTTTTTTTTTTTTGAAATAAGTTGAATTAAACAAAGCCTTAGTACTCATGTATTTTGGTTTGACCATATTTTGTGATTTGTATATTAAACATAATCATTTACGATATTTTTTTTTTTTTCGAAGAACACAAGAGTTAGTATTATATACTCCAGGAGTAAGATAGAAATTGCTGGAAACAATATTGAATATTGTTAAATTTATTTCAATATATATTTCTATAATATCAAGTTTTTTAAGTAAGATATAATTAAATACGGTATGTTAATGATAAAAATTACTCTGTAATACGGAGTATATATTAATAAGCGGAAAAAATTTCACATTATGCATGTGAATCAAAAAACGAGTAAGTCAATCATTATAATTAATTGATCATCTTGTCAAATGTCAATACCAATATAACTTAAACGCGAATAGTCAAAAGATTCAAAACTCAAACAGTATAAAACTCCACATACTCCTAGTTCTTACAAGGCTACAAGTCCAACAACTCTAATGGAGTGTTTGTTTATATAAATTTCATTAATATTTGCCCCTAAATAAAAATACTTCGCATGATAGTAGGATTGATCACGGGGTTTTAATCTCTATCCCTATGACCCTATCTTCTTATAATACTTGTGTACTTGTTTATCAAATAATAGAATACAAATTACTTGTATATTATTAACATTTGTGTCCTTGTTCATGTTCATGTACACTCAACATGAATTTTTGTGTCATTGTTCATCAAACTATAGAATATACGTAGAACATCTTAACATTAACACTCGTTTCCTTGTTTATGTACTCCGTAAGTTTCAATATGTACAAAATTGACTAGATCGAAGTTAAATGACTTATCAATCAAAGATGATTTGACCTACATTGAATCAATCCATTTTCCACCTCTAAATTTGCTACCCACTCTATTTAAATTTCTCTTAAAGAAAACCTCAAATCCTATCAACAAAGCTCAACAAAAATGATTCCGTCATCCCGTGTCATGCCTCTTGCCCTCTTGGCTAACTTACTTGCTTATGTGATTATGTCTACTTGTCTAGTCCATAACATGTATCGTACGATCATACCTAAGTCAAAGCATACTAATATTCTCGCGTCCACAATGTCAACTGTTTTTTTTTTTTTAAAAAAAAAAAATAAATAAACAACTCTAGTTATGCTCTATATATTGTTAATAAAAAAAGTGGAAAGCTAAACGTCGCCCTCGAATATCTAACTAACGTCCGCAAATAAAATATATTTTACAAATTTACCCTTGTATTTAAAAAAAAAATTACCCCCCTCAAACATAATTTACCCACCCTCACTACCTCTTCTCTCTCTAAACCACCACCACCACCTCCTTTTACCACACCCACTACTACCACCACCACCACCTCCTCTTTTAACCACCAACCACCTCCTCCTTTAATCTTCGGTTTCTCGATCTACACAGCTGCAGATATGACGAGGAAGGACAAGGGGAAGGCGGTCGCCGAAGACAAGATTTGTTTTTTTTTTCTATTATTTTCTGAAATCGAGTTCAAACGCCCTATTTTTTCGAACAACCTAGGCTCAAACGCCTAGTTCATTGGAATAACCGTATGGCTGTACGAAAGATCTGGGCGGTTGAGATGAATCGCTTAGAAAATTCAAACAACCACAACAATAAAAAAAAATCGAAACCCAGGCAAACGCCTAGGATTTTCGATAACCCTAGGTTGAAACGCCTAGTTTTTTTGAAACTCCTTAGGATGTTCGAAAAAACTAGGCGTTTCAGCCTAGGATTTTTGAAAATCCTAGGCGTTTGCCTGGGTTTCGATTTTTAAATTTTTTTTCCATCACACACCGAGTCCATATGGTATGACGAGCCTTCAGCGAGCAACATAAGTTGTGTTTCCAGTATTTCGTCGTCGTCCATAAGATCCAATAAATTTGATTTTGCAAAATTTAATAAATTTGTTTGATTTTGAAAATCACGGTGGTTGGTCCGATGATCGTTGGTGGCCGTTGACCACTAGAGAGAACGATTAAAATTTTATGTACGGTAAAAGTGTGAAATTGAGGTAAAATTAATTATTTTAATAATTGTTATTATAAGGATAAGTACGTAATTTTATGTTATTTTACGAGCGTTATTTAGATATTCGAGGGCGATATTTAACCACCCAAAAAAACACTAAATATGCCCTATATTGTTTGTATTATGCCATTTATTTTTCAAATTAGGCATGATATTCGCAATAAATATATTTTCCTTCATTCATTCCTTCACTCTTCTCTCTGACACACTCAAACACTCCAATTTAGAGAGAGAAAAAACCCCAGAATTTAGAGAGAGAAAGCTTGGTTCAAGCAACAATGGTGATGACCTTGAGAAAAAGGGTTCCTTCAATTGCACCACAAATTGAGTCTGATTCTTAAACCCCACCAAAAAAGAAGAAAACCCAGAAAAATTCAAAACCCATTAAGAGAAGAGAGACTTTTTCCTCTTCAGAATCTGAATTTAACTCAGATTCTGAGAAGGAAAATGAGAGTTCATTTGAGTATGAGAAGATTAAAGAACAGAGGATTCGAGAAAACAGAGAGAGAATGGAGAAATTAGGGATTTTTACTCTTTCTTCTCAAGTTTTTAATGGTAATCAAAAGGTGGGTCGTCGCAAAAACCCTCCTCAGAAGAAGAAGCGTTATCCTCCTCTTTATCCTCGTGTTCGCGATCGTTCGTATGATTATGCGAGGAGGTTTTCTGGTTTGTTTTAATGAACGATTTCCCATAATATTGTTGAAATAAAAATCAATTCCCATAATACATTATTTTAAAATAAATTCCCTACATAGTGTCTATGTACGATCGTTTTTTTGCTTTTGGTTCAACTTAAAACCATTAGCGGTTTTAAAAAAGAGACCGCCTCTAACAATAACAGGTCTCTTTGCGTCCTTGGTTAATTCAAGAAGATTATTTCATAGAGACCGCCTTTCAATACGACAGGTCTCTTTGCGTCCTTGTTAATTCTTAGCCCACAACAAGAAAAGAGAGCGCTGACAATTACACTTATAATTCTGGGTTTGTGTTGATTTTTTGTTTTAGGGTTTTGAAATGTAAAGATTTGGGGAATTTTTTTTATGGGTTTATCCAATTTTGTCCTTTCGTTTGTGGGTTTTTATTTTTTTTATTTTTTTTATTTTTTTTATTTTTTGTAATTTAATTCATCGTCATTTGGCATACAAATGTTTTGTTGATTTACATACAAAAATTTGGGATAAAAAAGTGATAAAATATGATTTCAGAAGTTGGTTTGAAAGTAGATAAATTGTTACTGTACATATATAATCTATATAAGAAGGTAAATAAATTAGATTTTAGGCGAAATATTAAAGATATGAATTAGCTGATTGAATTTGTGTATGATTGGTGTAATCCATAAAAAGTAGTTTGCTGGGTTGATGCTTGATTAATTGTACTAAGTAGTAAGTTTGGATTTTTGATTTTAATGGTAACCATTTGCAGGTTGAAGGATATGGAGACTGAGAGGTCATTGAAAGAGATGGGAATTTCGAGAAAAGCTTTTGGGAATTTCGACCGAGGTTTATACTGAAGAAGATGAAAAGCTTTTGGGTGATTGCGAGACGATTTGGACCTTGGAGGCTGATAGCCTAGACGAGGATGGTGAACCTGATCTTGAAAGGCCACCTTGTCACCAATGCAGGTCATTTTTATTAAACTAGAGATATCATGTGTTTTGAATTTACTTGTTTGGGTTTGTTCTAAAGTTAAATTTGATCATTAAATTGTATTGAGTTTTTGAATTTGCTGATTGCTTCGATGATTCATGTGGTTGCAGGCAAAGGCGTGCCAGGAAATTTCCCTATTGCAGTAAATGTAGGACTCCCCAGGGGCAGATATGTGGAGAATGCTTGTACACTAGGTGATTGTTGCTTCATTTTATGTGTACAATTGATTTTCAATCCCTAACTTACCAGATAATACTCTTAGGAATGAAATTATACGCTACAAATGCCCGGCCAATTTTGCATATTGACTATTGCTCCTCACCTTTTGTGTTTTCATCTTAAGGTGTAGAGAAAGAGTGATTTATTGTATGATGTGTTAGGCATGCATATGGTCAATAATTTAGAGGTTGAAAAATAGTGGGGTTAAAAGAACAAGTTTATAGTTTCTTGAGATTTAGTACTTTTTGGCAATTGGTGAATTTTTTCACATTATGTAGAAGATGTTTATATAATCTTGCACAACCCTGTATAAGTGATGCTTCTATAGGCAGTCAGCCTTTTTCCTTTGGAAGTGTTTGTAGACGCGGTTTTGTCTTGCATCTGTTGTATTTAAACGTTTGATGGCTATGCTTTTCTCACGCTGGGATCGGTACTTTCTTTGGCACAGGGCTACCTTCCAACTTGGTACCCTAGATTCACCAGTGAGCTGTCGAATGACCAGCTTGGAATCTCCGCGAACTTATAGGAACTGAAACCCCATTAGGACCGCCGCTTCGAGGCCAATAACAAGCGATTCAAAAGAGTTGGTATGCGCGCACATAGCATTTGCGAGACAAGGGGTACTCAAAGACCTTTTGACTACGGTTCCATTAAGTAATCTCGGGAAATGTCAAGTTATTACGTCCCCCGGGCATTAGATTGCAGCTTAGTGTGAAGAATAGGTTATGCGTTATGTGGCAGAATCAGAATTAGAGTATCAAAATCTCGAGGGGAATCGTCGTATATATGATGAAAGGGATGTATGGTATTTGATCTTTCGAATCACTGCTTTGTTTTCAAGCTCTAAAAGCTTGATTGATAAATGACTGAGAATACTGTAAAGTTAGTAACTTACATTTATCTTTATTGGCTTTACATTTATTTTTTGAGTGACTGTCCTAAGTTGTGCTTGTGCTACACTACATGTCTATAGGTATGGAGAAAATGTTCTGGAAGCTCGCCAAAATCCAACTTGGTCATGCCCTGCTTGTCGAGGCATGTAACTGCAGCCGCTGCCGCCGGACAAAGGGATGGGATCCAATTAATATTCCACACTCCAAGGTTCAATTTTAAACCTCTTAGAATTATCTTTGATTCTCCTACTCTTTTTTGCAAACTTGTTGATAGTGTTGACTGTTGAAAGCTTGAACATAGCTCTCTACTATGAGATTTCATATCAATCCATTCCAACCTGATGAACCAAACACAATGATAATGCGTGTATTTGATGATTGATCATGAAAAGCACATGGTAATAATTATTTATCAAAATACCTTTTTTTTAGATAAAAGCTAAAAGTTCAACTTCATAAGTGACAATTATTTAGATATTGATAATGAAGGTGTCTTTAGTATGTAAACAGAGTCAATAACCATGGTCAAAGAAAGCGTCACAAGTAGAGAGATATGGAGAAAGGTATAAGAGATCAATTTATTTATTTAAATTTTCTTTTATTATTAATGATATTCAAGTGAGTAGATTATGAGTCAAATTCGGAATTTGTGGATTGCATATGAAAAGAAAATTAATAAATATAGCTCTTTTGTAAAATAATTTCAACTAACAATTAAATATATATATTCTTATTGACTATTATCTACGAAAAATATTATAAAAACCTCTTTTTGATGAATTTGATCTTATCTCGATATTTTTTCTTATAATATTTGTAAAATACGTCAAAATTAAGTGTTGCAACTTAAAAACAAAGGGTGTTCACAATTTCCTATAAAAAAAAGGGTGTCCAAAATCTATCGTATTTATAGATTACATACAAGTAATGAACCCAACCAGTAGTGAAAAATACTTGTTAAATGTGGTGGGCTAGGCAGGGCCCACATTAATGGGTGTCCAAGATTTATTTTGGTGGGCTGAAAAGTTTATACTAGTGGGCCCGGCCAGTAGTGGAAAATACTTGTTAAACCCAGTTTGCAATCAAATATCAAGAGTGGTGGGCCCTAAACCCTAAACCCTTAACCCTTAACCCTAAACCCTTAACCCTAAACCCTAAACCCTTAACCCTTAACCCTAAACCCTAAACCCTTAACCCTTAACCCTAAACCCTAAACCCAGTCAGTAGTGGAAAATACTTGTTAAACCCAGTTTGCAATCAAATATCAAGAGTGGTGGGCCCTAAACCCTAAACCCTTAACCCTTAACCCTAAACCCTAAACCCTAAACCCTAAACCCTTAACCCTTAACCCTAAACCCTAAACCCTAAACCCTTAACCCTAAACCCTAAACCCTTAACCCTAAGCCCTAAACCCTAAACCCCCCTAAACCCTAAACCCTAAAACCTTAAGTTGTTAACCCTAAACCCTTAACCCTAACCATAAACCATAAACCATAAACCTCCCTAAACCCTATCTTAAACCCTACCCCTAAACCCTAAACCCCAAACCCCTAAACCCCTAAACCCTAACCCTAAAACCTTAAGTTGTTAACCCTAAACTTAAAACCCTAAATCGTAAACCTTACTACCCTAAACTTTGATTCTAAAGCTTGACCCTAAACCCTAATGGTAAACCATAAACCCTTTATTAGTAACCCTTTATTATACTTCATGTGATTCTAAATGTTTTTCCCATTTTGACTATGCATGATTATGTTATGATCCTAAACCCATATATATTAATAGAAAATATAAGTTATATGTTGATATACTATTCATTGTTGATAATTGGCTAATTAATTTACTCTTTGTAATTATATGTGAAAGTTTTGGTCATTGTTATAGCACGATCAGTCACGTAACCACAAGTAATGTTATATATTTGGTTCTTGTCAAAAAAAAAATGTTATATGTATTTGGTTAATGTTTATGTCATTAATTATCATAAATTAAAAAATATTCTTTCAAGAAGTTTTTAAAAAAAATTTGAGTTCCTTTCATTAGTTTTTTGCATTCAATCACACTTACATAAATATATAGTAGTATTATAAAAATAATAAAGGTTTTTATTATACAATTGATGCAAAATATATAAAATAATAATTATTATATCTTCTGTCACTTATTAATATTGTTTAATATTAGCCCACTTAAATTGAATTTTGATCAAAATTGCAATTTTATAATGGTTCGGGGCATCGCCCAAACCAATAACTCGTTACACATTTAAACAACATTAACTACTTTTAATATAGATGGTCCAATATTGCATAATTAGTATTTAGATGATCCAACATATGGGGAATTGTGGATTTGAAGGTTCAATATTGCATACGAGTATTAGTGTTGGAGACATGGATGAATGGACATCAATCATATTTTTCAAAGTAAATTAGTATTTGGCCCGGGTAATGATGGAGTCAATGCTTTGAACATTATAATTTTCATATATTTTATGAACTATAAATGAATTTGGCTTTTAGTTTTATTTCTTTATATACTGTTAAGTATTTATTTATTCTAGATTGGCTTCAGCTAGTAATATAATTAATTTGTCTTCCAGTCAATATCTAAGCTAGTACGTATATATATAATTACAAATGAAAAAATCAGAAAGTTAAGACTTTTTATTCATTTTTGCATGTATGAGTAAATTGCCTAAGCTTATTGGCAACTTTCACATGTTTCTGGAATGACTAAACTTGTTTCGCTTGCGTACATTATACAAGTTTAAGTATCTAAATTACGATTTGAGATGTAAATTTAAAATTAAACAATGTATTTGCTAACAAACAAAATTGGTAGAGATGATTATGAGAAAGAAAATTGGATAGATTACACATGCCAACAATGTGTAACCTCTTCTTACTTTTGCCAATCTAATATGCACGATTAACATATTGGTTATCCATGTTTTAAAGATAAAAACACATGAATATTTTATTAGTTTTTTTGTTTGGATAAGAGAAAATTGAGAGGAAGGATCGGAGCACATGAATCCTTTATTTTTATTTATTTTATTTATTTTTTTAAAAAGTAAGATACATGCATGGAGGAATTTAGGTACGTTTTCTCACAAGTCCGTGACCTAAAATATCAAGGAGTAAAAAATAAGAAAATTTACTATCTATAAATGGATCTATATCTTTGAATCCTTTATTAGTTTGTTTGTAACAACCTTATATTATGATGGAGAGAAAGGTAGGTAAACCTCAGGACCAATTCCAGCTGACAATAGGAATAATGTAGGAACTAGGAAGTACTAATATGTTGATCTTTGTCTAAAATCTCCTAATATTTATATGTATATAAATCTAATATTAATTAGTTCATATTCCTTATGACTTGATTTTCTTCGCACCTCTCATAGTCAATCCAATTCAGATTAGTGGGTTATATACACTTTTGAGAGTAGAGAGGTAAGTAAATCCTTACCCTTGAAGCACCCTTAGTGGAGAATCCAGAGATTAAAACCCAATCTTAAGGCTTTCGATGGCCAATATGCATGCCCAACAATTTGTTGATAGAACATCACAGTATAAATAACCAATGCTTAAAAGACTAAGTTATCAGAAAATAAATCACATTATAAACTTATAAGAGACCTAAGCCATGCATGTTTGCTTGTTTTCCTTCCCATGCCCAATCCTACTTAACCTGTTATGTGCATCCGTGACTTGTTGCCTCAATCTAAAAAACTGCTCTCTGAAGGGAAGCATGATTTTGAAAGTTCCATTCTTACATATTTGAGGTGCAGGCCCTTGCTGAGCCCTGAGGGCTAATGTTCCTTTTGTAGGTCATTGAATCAGGATTCAACTCAGTAGCACATATCTTATCTTAACTCGACGTGCTGGTGCTACACCAAAAGAGTTGAATGATGGAGCTGAGGTGGTTGATTTAACAGCTGAAGAGATAGCAGCAGCCCCACATGATGAAGGCTCTGACTATTCTGCTGAGTGGTCAGGAGCTGAATCTGATGATTCTGACAGTGAGGATGAGACAAAAGGTGATAAGAATAACGAGGAGCAGCCTGATAAGAATGATGAGGAGCAGCTTGATGAGAATCAAGTTGCTTCTGCTGAGAAATCTATTGATGCTGCTGTTGCTACTGATAGAGATGAAGTTCTTTAGGAGCTCAACTGTCTAAAACTTGCATCTTTAGCCTGAAATGAAGATTGTACACAACTTCTTGGTGAAGTTGATACAATAGATTAGCTAGAGTTGCAGTAGGTTTAGTCTTTTGATCTATAGGAGTTCTTGAAGCCTTTTACCCTTATTTGGCTAGTATATACTAGTATTTCCGGTGTAGGAGAATGCTGGCTTCTGTTTTGGTACTTTTTGGTAGTTTAAGTATCTCAGGAAGTTGCATAACTTTTGCAATGAAGGTTCTTATGCCTCCTTGGCAGCTTCTTATCCTTGTATAGTTTTAGGTTATTTGCTTATTTGCCAATTGTCCCGGTTAGCTCGATCTTTATTTTGGTTTTTGGATTCTTGGGAGCCAGGTAGGCAATTTTGTATATTTATTTCTTGTTTGCAATGAAAGGCTATGTTTCGTTATATTGCTTTATTCAACAAATCCAAAACTACTGATGAAGTCTCAAAAATTTACCTTAATAAAGCTTAAAGGCTAGTGAAATTGTTAGCAGATAATGATGTTTGGAGGTGATTAGTAGTTTTTGATTGAAAATAATGGTTTAATTTTAATGTTTACAATACTTCTGATGCATTCCTCAGACATTTCTATGCCTGGTGATGGGTCTCTTTCATTGAAGCAAAAGCCGCCATACCTTCTCCGCTTCTCTGTATCTCTCAGAATGTGCAGTGTATCTGTCTGAAATTTTACAAAAGAAAAATTTAAACATAAGAAAGGCATTGTATTCTTGAGTGCATATAAGAAATTTCATCGAATATGCCATGAAATAAATTAATCACATAAAACCAATTCCAATACCATAGTCCAAAAAACTAATATGAAGTATCTTAATTCTTATCCTTCATCTTTCATGCCATAAGAATTTCCCAAATCAGTACAAATTAACAATAGCAATCAAAAAAATTGAAACAAATACCAACTTTACCCAATCATCAAATTATTATCATAACATCAACAATTAATTCGAATTAATCTTAATATCAAGAAAACATCACATTAATCGGAATTAACTGCTAGTTTATGAACGAAAAGCAAAAATCAAATTAGTATTATAATACAATTTAAAAAAAAGTACAAACCCTAAACATACAGCAGCAATTAAGAAGTAAAATTAGTAAAATTAAAGCAACAAGGCGATACATAAAAGCAATTATGTAAAGAAAAAAAGAATGAACAAAATTTGCAATTGAATAATTTGAATTACCTGCTATTCAGTAGTCAGTAGTGATGAGTTAGAGTTAAAGTATGTTGGACGAATTTGGAGTTAAAATCAATTATGAGTGAAGAAAGAGAAGAGGTAGTACAACAGTGGGATATTTTGGTTTGGAGAGTCCAGATTTTGACGTGTTTTTCACAATACAAGGGGGAAGATACAAAAAGGTCGTTTGTTTTGACGCAAACACATTCTAACCACGGAGCACGACTGCTCTAGAGGTGATCAAAGTTAGTCCGGTCCGTTGGCCCGGCCCGATTTGTTTTTTTTGGCGGGTTTGAGAATACGTTTTTAAACTTTTTATGCATATTTAGTTGATTTTTAGGTCTGAAAAGCCCGCATGGCCCGACCATTTTGGACGGGTTTGGGCACAAAAATTCCGGCCCGAGAAGTGGGCATAATTTTTAAGCTTGGGGCGGCCCGCCTAATGATCACCTCTAGACTGTTCGAGCACTTGAGCATAACTGCATAAGGCAAGGACCTACTTAAGTTTCTTCGGCCCGTGCATAGGCGTTATTTTCAAAATTCGATACGAAGTACATAATGCTATAGCCCGATTATTTTTAATTAAGGTTAAAAAAAATCTACGGAAAATATCTTGTGGGTTAAGTTATGTGCAGAATTGAGTGTTTGTTGCTATAGAGTTGTAGATTTAAAAGACTTGTCTCACAAATTTGCTGATTTTAATAGCCAATACAGTTTTATCACTTTTGCGACTATATATTAAAGGAGCTCCATCAAGAATGATGCAAAGATGCCTGCCTATAATTATTGAGTATTTTAGAAGCGATGTTATTGGTTTAACCGAGTTTATTACTTTTATATATTGAGAATTTTTATCTCATAAAATGATTACTAGTTTTAATTCAAACGCTTATTATTGAATTAAATCACTCTCCTTATAAAATTATTCATTTTTTTATAAGTTTGACCATTAATAAATAAATAAATAAATAAATAAATAAATAAATCAGCCAATGACTACACTATAGAAACATAGTGGTAGTCAATCATTTAAGAATAACTACCATAGAAACATTCTTATGATACACTTTAATTTGCACCCATTATGTTTTCAAAAAAAATAAATTGCACCCATTATAAAAGTTGGAGCTATACTAAATATTGTACTAGTAAAATTGATACTAGTTATAATAGATTTTATTGCACATATATTTATAATACCCGAATTTGATTTTATTGCACTTGTTGATACAAAATAAGAGTATATTTTGTTTCTATTATAAAAAGATAAGTCTTAATCTTGAAATTTTTTAAGCATATATTAGAAATAAAATAAGGTTAGTTATTACTTATTAGTTATTTATTAATTAGGGGCACTACCTAAATAAGTATCTCCGTATTTCGTCCGTATTTGGTTAAAGACTTGTTCAAAAATTTACTCGCCTAAACTTTCCTTAAGTACGTACGTAGTGATAGAATATCAAATTATGTTTAAAATAAAATCACATCACCCATTGCTTTATAAATATACATGCATGCATAAACATTATTCAGTTAACAACTTCAATTATCTAAGCTACACAATATAATTCTTTCCCTCTTGGCTTAACCCTAAACAAAACAATGGCTTTGTCTGATAATCTTGATCTTGTCAAAACCCAACCAAAGATTGATGATCTTGAAACGAAATTTTTGCGTACTCTAAATTTTTGCCCCGACGTTAAGTGCTACACTAATTATGATCTTGATGATGAATTCGTCTATCCTTACAACCTTCCTACCGTGGAAGAGTTATTCGAAAGTATGGTTAACGTTGATTCAAGTGTTGATGATGATGCCGCCTCCTTGAAGAACAAAGAAGAGATCGAGGAAAAGAAAATGGTTGGTCACGGAAGTTACAAAGACAGTTGTACGGATGAAAGCAAGAAGGCTAAGAACGATGAGGATTGTTATGCACCCTTGAAGAACAAGGAAGAGCAAAAGAGTATGGTTAATCGAAGCCGCCAAGAATATCATAGATGATACGTAGATAATCATACCGATGAAAGTAAGAACGACAAGTGTTATTATAAAGATTACTTAGATTTTTATTAAGTATCTATTAGCTAGTTTCTCGAATATAATCGACATTATGTAATTCAAGATTATCTACTTGTATTTTTATTACTCCTTTTATATTATATCCTACAAAGTATTACATATTTACATGGTGTGGAATGCATGTATTGTTTCAATTTTAATTAATTTATTTATTTAATTTTTTTTACAACAGGCATGTATGTATTATTTCAATCAGTGTTAAGAAAAATGAAACTTGGAATAAAAGTTAATTAATAAAATATGATGAGTTTTTCTTTCAAATTAGTATCTAGTTTCTTGAATTGTTACATTCTTGTTTAAGTCAATTAATGCTTCAATGAAATTAAACTATTTTTGTATATTGTTTAAGTCAATAAATAGTTTGATTATGATCGGGAAGTATTATAAATAATTGTATATATATATATATATAGTCGTGCCTACGGGCCATGCTTGTGAGTCGGCACGCGGGCCATAACGTCGTGTCGTGTTGTGTCGTGTCGTGCCCGTACCAATTTCCAAAAAACTTGTTCACAGCACGGCCCACGATCCACGCGTGGGCCACCGTGCCGGAGGCGGGCTCGTGCCGGGCCGTGCCTTGACCGTGCCGGCCCGTGGCACGGCCCATGCCCACCTCATTCTCAAATTTGATTTGCGCTAAAAAAATTAGGGCCAGAAAGAAAGCCAAAAACTCAAAACAAAAAGCACAAAAACAATTTTGAGTCCTTCCTCTAGTCTCTCTCTCGCACTGAGTCTTCCTGGTGGTGGCAATGAAGACGGAGGCGGATGGCGCGGTTGTCGGAGTGCCGCCGATGAACAGAGTGCATATCAGCAAGAGAGCTCTTCGTAATAAATCTCTCTCCGTCACTTTCAATGAAAAAGACCTAAGGTATTAAACCCCATCTCCCAAATTTTTTTTTTAAAAAAAACCCCAAATATCAATTTATGTTCTTTCTGTACATTGAATGATTAAAATGTTGTTATGTGTACATTTTTGTGATTTAATGGTGATTTATGGTTTCCGAAGTTTATTTTTTTAAGAAGCATAAATTATGCCTGATATGGCACTAAACTTATTTTGTTAATGTAAGCTGGTATGGGTTGATGAGATAAGATTTGGGTGTGTTAGGAATTTGTTGATTAAGGGAGAAATTTGAGGCTAATGTTGATGCAGTTTCTTGAATTTGTATTAACGCTTTGAAAGGGTTTTAATTTAGCTTTAAAAATACAAAGATTTGTTGCTTAAAATTCGTATTTCTAGATTATTGATGAATAGTGTATCATTTGTAGAAAAGTAGTGGGGATTGAGATAAGGTTGGAACTTTAAAAGCAATTGTAGTAACGAGTAATGCTAGATTGCTAGTGGCAATTGACAAACAAGTGAAGGGAGAGACATTACAAGTTACTACGAAGCATCATGGAAGAATGATAATATTGAAAAAAGGTATTAATTGACATGAAAAGGAGTTAAAGATTGTAAAAGATAATATAGGAATGATCATATCGATAAAAGGTGCTTTGTAATTGTATCTCAGCTTGTTTGTCAAATAAATTCATTGGATCAAGCTTGGATCTTTACTTAGGGGGCGCTTGGATTGGGAGTATTAAATTAAGGGATAATAAAAGTCAAACCAAGAAAACTTAAAGTAAACATAGGAGAGGGGGAGCTAGTGGTGATGTGATTGTAAGAAGATTTATATAGTGATGGTGTGGTGATAGGTGAAGAAAGGGAACTATTACCCTTATTTTGGGGTTAATAGGTTACACTAGGGGGAGGGTGGGTAACCTATTACCCTCATTTTGAGGGTAATGATTCCTCCACCCCTCTCTTTTCCTTATGTCAGTACAACCTTATTCATTCATAAACACCTTGTCTCTCTATAATAATACCTCTAATCAACTATAATTTACCTAGTTTGACTTTTATTACCCCCATTCCAAGCGCCCCTTTAGAGTTGTGTTTGAGCTGGTAGCACTACATTCTTGCCAGAAGACTAGCACTCCTAGCATGATGCATGAAGCAATTAATGTCTTGCTACTTTTTTTTTTTAAAGAGCTCACTATATCCTAATTCCTATCTTGTGGGTTGCATTTCTTCATTCTATTCTTTAATTCTTTCTTATATGACCTTGAAATTAACATATACTGCATATACCATGTACCATGAAGCGCTATTAGTTCGCTAGCCACTTTGGCATACATCCTTCTAGCTTAAGTAAATTATATTGTT